GTACGTCACGAGCGCGTCAAAGTATTTCGCATTATTGGTACCTTCGAGGATGGCGCCTGTTCCTGGCGTTTGTCCCTTGAATCGGATTATCAACTTTGCCCACTTTTGCGCGCGTGCACGCGAAATATCGCAGCGCGATCGCGTTTAATTCTTGATTTCCTTTGTCCCATGGACAAGAGAGCCAACATGCCACGTCACGTAACACTCTTTTTCTGCAACAGCTTATTACAGTTTCACGAGTTTTTGAGTGGAGGCTTCATCAGAAGTATCCCTCGACAAGCATTGTACTTTTTTGCGAAGCGAATTGCAATTCAAGATACACGACTTGAATAGATTTTGCGTAAAAAGAATTTCTTTATATTGCGTAATAATTATTTACGTTTACATTTTGCAGTAGACAACGAGATGTAATCACGCAATATGAAAAGATTCGATTATATCGTGCGATGTATTTATCCGAATAAACGAAATCAATGTCGCAAACACTATTATGCGATCGATCAAGAGCTATATATCAAAGCGTATATTAATAACGCGGGAGGAGAGGCATTTTGTTTAGACGGGGGATTAAATCCTCGAGGAAAAACACAAATCCCAATTCCTTCTACGACCAACTCCGTCCGATAATCCGCTTTCGCTTGTCTCAAATTATTCCGAGGAGACGCGCCGCTTAGCCGCCTCCCGACAGCTTGACAAAGACGCTTTATATTATTTCGAGCTTAATTTCGACTTGCATTATCCAAGCTCTCGAGTATCTCCCGATATTATTTCAACTGCGAAGCGAGAGCATCGATCTAGCGGGGCGCCTTTTTCCTCGCGAAGAAACGTAGACCAAGATTTTCCTCCGACGTTAATGCAACGGGAAGACTAAAGCGGAGAAACGAAGCAGAGAGGGACGGTAGGAAACGGAGTTACGAGAAAGAGAAGGAGGGGGGACGAGAGAGAAGGGGATGAACGAGAGAGAAAAGGTTAGGTTAATTAAGGGAAGACTTAACGACGAGGTTTGTCCACCCACGTCCATTCGCGTTCTTCCTTCTTCGCACCCCATTCACCGTGAGAGTTTGGCTCGAGCTAACGCGGAAAGTTCGCGTGGATTTCTGAAATTCTAATTCGCTCCTCTAATCTGCGCTATCCTTCTTTTCACAGACGCGACGCGACGCGATGCGACGGCGACGCCCGCCTTCGAGGCACGTCTAGCTTCAGAAAGTGCTCGCTTGACTCTATCTTCTTACAGGGATGAAAGAGTGCTGCAGATAATTACGTATATAAGAGCGATCGCGGCGATTCAAAGAGGCGATAATTGGAAAAAGGAAGAAAGAAACGTGATAGGAGAAACGTTTCGGATTCGGATGTTCTTTTCTGAGGTTTGCATTGAGGAATATGTTGTGCAACTTCTTGTCAGTATTTCGGGGTGAAACTGTGTTTCCGTGTTCCGCGAAACTGGCAGGAGTAACGACACGCATTTCGGAGAGAGGAGGGGTTGTTCGCGAAACTCACGTAAGTATAACGAACGCTAACTATTGCGCCACGCGCCGGCGCGTAATACACTTACACGATTACGATGGATAATAATATTGCGCCCATATATACTGCAACACAGCGCGCGTTGTAACACGATAGTGTAACAATACCGCGCGAATACTGACGCATTAGCTTAATCTATAAGACGGTGCGCCTCACGCGCGATGTCTCGCGCTTGTGTGTGTTAATATATCATAGTCGTGTTCGCAAGAACATACTCGTGTAGTCCATCACGTGTACACGTACCTTGTGCAATCTACAACATCCCTTGCATAAGGAGAAGCCCTATTGCAATGTATTTTGCATAATTATCGCAAAATTGATATTTGTTTCTTTGATGATTTATGTGTCTAGCTCGTATACATACATTCGAAATAAAGACTCTTGTTAAAATATTAAAAGACATCTCGTGTATATATTTATAATCGTCTGTTTGTTAATTTTTCAAAATTTTAACTCCGCATATAATGCAAAAATAATCTGGCAGTTTATATATTCAGCAAACTCTCTTAACTTGTAATACATTATAACTCGAATACAAGAATATTGCGAGAACAGCTGTGTAAATGATATATGACTGTTAAATTTCGTATATGTATTCCAAAAGCACAGCAAAAAGCGCAGTAAGAATCTCAAAGTGTTTCTTATGTCTCGAGAAGTTTAAAGAGACGGACGGAGTATGTCGTGGAAAATAACAAAAGTTACACGGTATGTCGGGATTCGCTCAACGGCGGCCACATTCATGCAAACTTAAACGTCGAAGAGCTTAGATTACGTATTCTTCCCGGTGCGGCGCGGCGCGGCGTCTCGGCACCGCAATATGCGAGCAAGGAAAAAAGATAAAGCGGAAGAGACGCGCTTGGACATTGCATCGCTGGTATAGGACCGGTTATCGCGGAAAAGCCCAGGAAAATCGGAGAAAGACAGGTAGAGATAGATAGAAAAAGGAAGGTGGGAAGGGGAGAGGAGGAAGGGGGAGAAAGTGAGAGAGAGAGAGAGAGAGAGAGAGAGAGAGAGAGAGAGAGACGCAATCTAGAAACTCTCGGGAACCAATCTTCTCTGATGAAAATACCTTGTCCTCTGTGAGGTTTGATACCGCACCCGCGGGGGCCAATTTCGTTCGTTACTTTTTGGAATACCGCGAGTACGTTTGAATTGGACGGAGTCCTTGCGAGGCAGATTCCAGGGAAACATTTTGAGGGTACGTGTAGGCGAGCGTGGTTGGCAAAGCAGGAGTAAGGAGGTGGAAAATGGATTGGCCTCTCAACGCGTGTCGCTTCCGCGATCAGTTCTCTCGACGAAAAATATTGATGCAGCTTAATTAGAGCTCGAAACCACGTGCGAGCACAATTGCACAAGGGAAAAACGCTTCGATGTTAAACTACCATCAAAATAGGTACAAAATGGGTATAAAAAAGGGCTTATTGTACTCTTCTTAATTGGCGCGATGTGATTTGTACGGAATTTTAACGTAAGAGGGATTCAATTACAAATAACGTACATAGAGTTAAAACCTTGAGAGACGCAGTAGATTGCAAGTTCTCACGATGTTTTCGTAATGGAAAAATGGATCTCAACCTCGAGGAGAAATATGTCAATAAAAGCATTATCCATTTACTCTCGGATACCCTGTATTTGCGGGTCTTATATGGATATTCGACGCGGGGTGTTCCAAGTCGAACATTTCAGAAACACTACGCGCGCTCGGCTATTACTAGAAAGGGTTAGATCGCCTGAGGGATCAGCCGGAGAATTTCATGCTGGTCGTCGGGTCTTCTGGGAATCTGCACTGCGACACTTACATTCTCACTATCCTTATCCCTTTCCATGTCGTTCGAATCTCTCTCTCTCTTTCTTTACCTCTTTCTTTCTCTCGCACCCTCTCGCCCTTTCACTATTCCGTTCCAGTCGATAGCAGCGGCGAAGAGAGGCGCCAAAGATGGATTCCGGTATCGGAAGGATCGGGAGTAGAATTTCCCAGGTTATATTCCTGCCGCGAGCTATACGGGATATCCCGAGATTCGAACGTACTTCGCTACCGACTGCTCCAACTGGGGCTTCCATGAAAGTTACACCTGCGTACGATGTGGACTTTATGATCGACCCACACGATGTTATACTCACACCGCGTGTATCCGGGTAAAGAAAGCGCAGCGTGGTACCCGGATATTATTCCAAATTGTGAGAGAAAGTAAGCAGAAGCAAAATTATGTACGGTAATGGTGATCGCGAAATTCTTCGTGGATGTCGGTCGCGCAGTTAGGGCCGCTGTCTTCGTCATAGAATACATGCAGAGAATGTTATACTTGTATAAGAATCGAGATTCGTGTCGTGACTGAACTTGCGAGCTTCTGCTCGAAACGATGCGCTCAGATACGAATCGGGAAAACTTGGATCATGCGATCCACGTGGCGGAAAAACCGCAGGCGTGCAGGAGGAAATCGTGACCGCGATTGGTTCATGCATTTTTCAGTGATCGCGGCATTTGCTTGATCGGACGTTTATATGTCCCTTCGACGTCGGCGTCGGACTCTGCGAAAGGCGGCACGCGGTGATAAAACGGTCGTACACGAGTGAGTGTGTGCTCGAATAAGTGGCGCGCATAGAAAGTAACGCGGACTCCGGTCGCAAGTTCGCGACTGCAGCGAGAGATCGATCGGTGCCGTGCCCTCGCGAAATAGCGATCTATAGTACACCTATACCCTTCATGTTCGATCTGATCGCCACGAATCGTTTCTTCACGGCGGCAACAGCAACGGCAGCGGCGGCGGCGGCGCGGTGCGACGCGACGTGCGTGTCGAGCTTGATCGATTTCCCGAGCGAAATGTAACCGCTATTTCTCTCTTTCCCCGGTTCTCGCTTTTCCAATGTCCGCGAGAGCGTACAATGCACCTTAAGGCTTCTCTTTAAAGTCGTGGTAAATTAGTTTGCTACGATCTTCCTTTGATTGAAAGAGGAGTGACGGTTTGCTTTTCGTGTAAATGTCGTTGCTGCGACTATTACTATTGCGCGTCGTATTATTTATTATGATCGATATGATGGCATAATTTATACCAGATATCATATTTAAAGTTATTATATTCCGTAATGTTATTTAAAGAGTTTATATTTATCTCTGTTATCTTATACCTAAAGAAACAAATATGCTCATGTGTCCGATTGAAAAAAACTTTCAATTGGGTATATTTGTTTTTATATTGCATATATTTAAAATTAAAAGTTTGACGAAATCACGGCATTTAAAAATATTGGGAGTCATACAGAGTGATCACAATTTAAAAATAAAAATGGAAAATAAATTCATATAAAACTGATTGATTAAAGTAAATTTATAAAGAATTATAGATTTATAATTTACTCTTTCTCTGACTTTTTAAATTTAATAACGCATATCACTTGTAGCGAGGTTTATAAAAAAATTGTTAATCGCTATATTTAGAGTATGTAATGGATTAAATTCTTCTAGAAGTCAGACTCACCGATCACGGTCAAGTTATACCGGAAGCTGCGCGTCTGGCCCTTCCGGAAATCCACTCTACATCTGTAGGTTGCAGCGTCGTGTCGCTTTATATCGTCGATCACCAGAACCGCCGGGCTCGGAAAGGACGTTCGAAAAAAGGCGCGTGGACCGAAAACCCCAGAGTCTGACGAGTGTTGCGCCTTCGTCACTGGCTTCTCTCGCGCGTCAATTCTGTAACAAGAAAAAAATGTTTTGAAAACTTTAAAACTTAATCCTAAAATGTTCAAAATGTTCCATATACAAAACAAACAATTTTTCTCTTAGCAAATTCTCACATTAGGATTATTTTATTATATACTTAATTTAGATTTACAATTACGTTTACAACTTAAATACGTTATCTTTCTTATACTAGATCGATCCTGTTCAATTTACAAAGTTTGTCTAATTTTCTTTCGTTTGTGTTCTATTCTTTAAGTCCAATACAGCGTCATTGTACACTCGAATTTCTTTTTCTTTCGCGCGATTGTAAGACAATTACCAGAGGTTTCGAGAATTCAGAGCACGATCGGTGGTATTCTGATACATAGAAAACGATCGCACAATTTCCGACCAATAAAATTCCAACCTCACGCAAGGAGATTCTACCGAGCGACGGCAGACAATGGGGATCGCGCAGCGCGGAGTTGAAAGAGGCGTTGAAAGAGGCGCAGGGGAAAAAATATGCATTGCGACTCATTGACCGTCCCAGCGAACCGTGATAGTATATATCGAAGTATTACCCGCTTACGAGCCCAATATAATTATTTCAAATCGATGGTATAATTATCGTGCGCGGTGCAGAGAATGGAGCGCGGCGTGCAGGTAGCCGGCGATAACGCAATTAAATCGCAACCGTGTTATCCGATATTTTGAACGAACACCGCTCATTTCATCGATATCGCGTAGATACTAGACTAGCTGAAGAAAAAGGACCGATACGCGCGATTGAATTGAATCGAATCGAATCAAATCGAACCGCGTCGGCTGATTACAATGGATAATTGGAAAATATAATCACACCGCGCCGCTCGGGGTATAATCTACGGCATTTACGTTATATTACGGTTTAATACTTGTCCAAAATATATATACCTATATATATATATATATATATATATATATAGGCGAATATTTTGCGAAATTGAGAGACGCTGATACGCGACACGAGCGATTGATTAAGTTTTGATAGTCGATGTCTCTCTCTCTCTCTCTCTCTCTCTCTCTCTCTCTCTCGGCAAAACTTTTTAAATTGAACATAAAGACGATAAGAATAAGATTCGCGAAGGGAGTATAATGACAGCAACAATAAATTTGCGAAATAAAAAGCAATGAAAATGAAAATCAATCAAAGAAAGCAATGAAAATGAGATGAAACTGGGAGGGAATAAAGAGAAATATTCGCAGTTGATTTTTGCCGTTTTGTATTCGCAATAATTCTGAAATGAGATTTTACGAGTGCGCGTTCAGCGATTCCCGTTTGACATTAACTGCAATTATATGCACGTGTAATATAGTAACTATATGTTAATGGGAACGTAAAATTTCCCGGTGGCGCAATATCGGATCTCGTTTGACGTAAATATAATGTCAAAAGCTTCCTGCTGGTGAAATTACGTATTTTATTAACGAAAGTGGCGATATACGTTACGAAATTTGCGATCAGTGCGGAAGGAAAGTTATTATTATTATTATTAATTTCACACACATACACACACACACACATATGCACAATTTAGCAGAGAATACTGCTATCTATATCGTCGTAAAACTACTTCGTCATAACGAACAACACATTATGACGTCGTAATTATATTTAATAAAAGGACATTTCCTTGTGACAAAGATCAGATTTAATGTACCACAATTATGTCTCGTATACCTACCACTGCGACGTTAATTATCACATCATATCTCTTGATATTCACAACGTAGAATAATTCGTAGAATAATGCGATCCTAAATGTGAGAGCGCACGAACCAAGTGTGTTTGTATCGTGTATAAGTTTAGAAAAATGGAGGGACGCGGGAGACGCGATGCGGGATGCGGCGCGACCGAGAAGTGGAGGCAATAGAAGAAGTGACGGAGACGAAAGCGGGAGGAATGGAGGATACGCGGCCCAGAGATGCAATAAGGAAATGCGTATCTTTCGTCTTTCCTTTATGTGCAGGCGGGACCGTTCCCTTATCCTTCGGCAGGCGTTCTCGCGAGGAGCACTCCTCGGCGAAGACTCTCGATTCACGTCGACGCGGCGACGTGGGCGCCGGGTAATACGGAATCGATGTCTGTTTTATGAAACGTTTTATCTTGCCGCGCAGCCGGCTTTCCAATATTTCGCTCGACTCTCGCCTGCCTCGTTCACGACCTTTCCCTTCAAACTATCGTTCTCCATCCTCACTGTTATTTCCTCTCGCTTCATCACATATCGGCCCGTTCTTTCCCGTACGGTTGCGTTCCGCTTCGATTATCTTCTCGGGAATGATACATATACTTTTTAAACCAGTGGTACTGAACTAGAGGTACATGTCCCCTCGAGACGTACAAGTCGTTGCAGTGGATTTTTAAAAAATTCAGAGCGCGGACGCGTCTCGATATCGACGTAATTTTCGATGTTTCGATCAAAGACAAAAAAATAAGTACTTTCCGTGTAGCGACAGCATTTTGATAATCTGAAAAACGTCAAAATGAAAAGAACCACTGCTTTAAAAATAGACGGCTAAAATAAACAGCCGCGCAGTAAGTACTGTGAGTACAGACTATCGAGAGCTCGCGAACGATGTTCGATCTTCTTTTTTTAAACGCTAATAGATTTTATTCGCGATGCGGTATTGAACGAAAAAAGAGAAGGAAGATCCGTTTAAGGAATCTGGCTTTCTGCGGTCGCGCATAATTGGAATTGCGGTCGTTTCATATTTAGGTCGAATAATTTCGGGGTAGAGTTAAATTTATTTTCAATATTCCGCCCTAATCCACGGTCTCATGCACGACCTTTCTTTTTTCCTTCTCCCTCGCGCGTCTCCCATGCGCCTCTCCGCTAACGATATACTTACTTTCGTAAAAATGATAAATGCCCGGCGAGCAAAGGGTAAATAGCGACGTAATGAACGTACGGCCCGCCGCTTTTGCATAGCGTAGAAGATATACAAGAAAATTATACGTCTCTAAATATTTATTGGCACATTAATTTTGCGACGTGTCTTTAACCCATCCTCCGGTGTCTTTAACCTCCCCCCCTCCAGCCCTCGTGACACGTGGGAGAGGAGCAGGGGAGAAGGCAGCACAATAATTCTCGTCGCGTCTCGTTGTTTACCATGGCGCGCCCACGGGATAAAGTCGTCGGGACGACCCTCTTTTACAGTTTTCTAGATTACATGAATTTCGAGAGCGGCTGAGTGCTTTTTAATATTTCTCTCCACTATTACCCGCGCACGTTTTCCTTGTATACGTACGCGATTCCTGCCCATCTACCCTTCTTCTTCCTTTGCACACGTTCTTCCTTCATTCTCTCTTCTCCTTCCTTTTCTCTTCCCCTCCTTCCACCTTCCACCTTCCAGCTTCCCTCACGTTCGCGGTCGGTCTTTTATAACGAAAATAACACGCATGCCCTTGGGGCAAAGGGTAAATAGCAAGAGAATAAATGCATAGCACCCGTTTTACGGGTACGTGCAATAAAATTCTTTTTTTTCCTTAACTCTTTTCCCCCCTATAGCTCTATGTTAATTCCCCGCGTTTCTACGAAAGTCGTATTCACGGCGTATCGCGATCAACCGGTGAAATTATCTAAAATTTGCGCGGTGCTTTTATATTCGTCTTTATCAAGTCGTTGAGGCCGTTACATTAACATAGTAATAAACAGCTGCAATATTCATAAGAACCTTGTTTATACGTTCGTACCTGGACGCGTGTATATTGCGCCGTTTTAATAAATCTGTCAAAGTAGTCTTACACTTATTGTCAGCTTCCCGCAGAAAACGTGCGAGAACCATTTCGCCACCAAACTCCGTCCGTCATTCTGCCGACGTGTTTTTATCTATGCATAAGTATTATACTCCCCTAGAACCTTGAACTTTCCGTTGCAGATTTCCGCCCCGCGTTAATGCACCTTCGATTCGTTCCCGGCTTGTTTCGTTGTAAGCTCCCCGAAATGAGAGCGAACACCCGTGCCCGTGGCGTGATAAATTTGTTTTGCAAAGTAAAAAGGTTTGCGCTGTCTTCTCGAGAAAGATGTACGGTTCTTCGACGCTTCGAGGATAACGCAATATTGTAGAGATTATCGCGATGAAGAATGCTACGTACCAAAATTCACATCCAAAAATATCGACGACGATCAAAAATAAAATGCGAAAAATATTTAATTTGTTTTTTTTTTGTAATAGCAAATGTGGAAATCCATTTTAGCAGACTTAATCGCGTAAAAAAGTTTATAATAATGTAGGTATTTATATTTCGAGGATATCGATCAAAAATTATTTTGTGTTTGTAGGAGAATTTTATCATTATTCTCGGGAATAAATATTTTAAATTAGTACGTTAATTTTACATAGCTAAGGATATATTAAGATTTTTACTATCGATAGCTGATAGCAAAAAGTAAAACTTTGAAACCAATGCTTTGATATTTACCATAGTTTAACATCTTGCGAGTCAATTTAATTCTCGTAATATTACGTAGGTATTACTATGTATGTATTATTAATTATTACTATTTATTGCGCGACGAATATCGCATTTTATAATTACGTGGTGACGCTAATGAGATCACAAAACGCGATAAAATTAGATGCGCGATAATCCATTTGTCGAGATACAAAAACACGCAAATTAATATTGATCTGAGATATGAGAGCACATATATACGAAAGGAAACACGTACACGTACAGACGCATATACAGTATTCGGAATTTACACACAGTTACCTTATAACGTTTTATTTGATGTAATATTTCGTAGAAGAGAGTCTTTATTGTCTTGTATAGCACCGAGATCGTTAGGTATGCGACGCGTTGTTGACGTTGTTGTTTACGCCAGTCGCGCGGCTTTTCGGAAATATGACGTAGTGGGGGTAAGTAGGGATTTCATCGCGATACTTACGGATGACGATTGTTTTTCTAACGGTCGGATTAGAATATATTTTCGCTCTCGCTCTTTCCGTCGACGTTAATACAATTTATTTCGGTAATTCCGCGATTTACTCGGTCAAATTATATCACGCATATAATGGTGAAGTAGGCGTCGGCGTTGTATATTTTTAAAAATTTTTTATTACGGTTTTATTAGCCACACTAACTCAATTCGGGCTGTCTCGCGGTATATCAGGATAAAATTGCCAATTCCATTTATGAATTTTTCGGTTATTAACAAAACCGTCACGGCTAGGAAACGGATCGATTTCGAGACGTAATACTCGTACGTTTCGAAATTTATTCGCTACCGTGCAGAACGCCCCGCGAGTAATTAACAAATCGCATAGTTCGTGTAATTATGTTTATGTGTTTTTGTGTGTGAAAATTGTGGTACGAAAAATCAGCAATATAGAGAAACATGAGAGGAGGAGGAGGCTTGGGGAAGCATCTGGCGACGGCGCGCGGCGCGGCGGGGCAACTAAAGAGTAAGTATAATTTATTATTTACTTGTTACATATTATACGTTGTAAAATTTATTATTTATTTAACATTCACAAATATTAATATTTTTATTTTTTACACTTTGTGTAATACGATGGATATGAAATATTTTTCATTATTTAAGAGATGATCAGAGATGATACTTTTTTCATTAAAATAATTAAATACAATATTTTTAAGACTTTCAACAATTGATACGCTTTTAAAATAAAATTTAACTAATGATTTAAATTGCGGGCTTAAAATAAATATTTGCAAAAAAATCAATCTCACAGATAGAATAACGAACTTTGTGAGTTTTTTTATCGCACTCACAGAGATCGTGCGATATTATCAAGATCATAGGTTTTATAATTGAAAGTTATCTCAGAGAGTGAAACCCTCAAGCCGTTCAAGCGAACATCCATCGAAAATCATTCTCGAAGAATAAACCTGTCGAGTATGTTTTACTATCCAGTAGCTTTTGCAGAGCGGAGCTCTCGTTCGAACAATCACTGATTGTTAGTCGCAAATTCAGACAAAAAATTTCTATATCTCACGCCATTGTAACTCTTCTTATTTTTAAAAAGCGGTCTTTATATACAAATAATATTATAGATAGGATAATACAAACTCGACAAACATCGACAAGAGTGACGTGTCTAATGTACAATAACCCAAGTTCAATATAGATATATAAGATATAACTGTATGTATTTTTTGAATTGAAAGTGCGAACGAGTGCGAACGATGGTCGAAATAGTTTTAAGGGCTTATAAAATTTAAAAAATTTTAAAAGATTAAAGATTTTTTTCCATTTTTATTATATTTTTAAAGTCATAAAAATGGAACCAATATAAATTAATATATTGTAAGTAAATAATAAAAAATTATAAATTTTACATCCACAACTTTAAACGCTCTTTTCTCAAAACATTATTTTTCAAAGCGGTAGGCACACAATAACTCATCCGGGGTTTATGACTAATTTGAAATTTCAAAGCAATATTTTTAATATTTCGCATCAGCTCACAAAAGCTCAATTAAATTTTTTTTTTCAAATTATAATGAAAAGAAAAAAAATTTTTCGGGAAAAAATAAATTTATCTAGTAATGCTTTCAAGAATTTAAATTTGTTCGTGCAGTATCTTTACGGTATATTAGTAAAATACTACTGAAAAAGAAATATATTTATACTTAAATATATTTATTTATAATATTAATCCGATATTAATCCGCATTTAATAACGTTACTTTATTTAGTAATATTTTCAAAAATTTTAAATTTATTTGTGCACAGTATCTTTACAACGTATTAGTAAAATTCTATTTAAGAAATGTACAAAGAGTCAACATTATGTTTTTTTAAAAATCTATATAAGAAAATATTTATTTATAATTTTATCCGATTCGTACATTTAAAAAACTGTCGTAAATGTAAATTATACATATAGTGAGACTTGTTAATATGGTGGAGAATATAACAGTTGAATTATGTGTATATAAAGTCATGGAAATAAATGCATCTAAATGTATCATTTATCGGTAATCTGCAGTATATTGCGTTTGCAACAGAAATCACACACGTCAGGACACATTATTTCTAGGCGGTGAAAGTTAAATTGAATTAATATTGCGCAATGACGGCACTGTATATCGAGCCGTGAACCTAGAAATCAATCTCGGTTTTATTTCTTCGACATGTTTGGCGCAATCTTCGATACAGCCATTACGCGATCAATTGCGCAATAATGCCATTTAAAGACAACAGTTAATTGCGTGAGTTGGATGAGGCGAGGCGAGGCGAGACAGAAAGGAGAGGAGAAAAGCATTTTATCGCGGGTGATAATCATTTCAGTCGGTTTTTACGACAGTTAGACGATAGTTAGTCGAGCCGCCATATTCCATGTATTTTTCACGTCAATGTTACCTCTCGCCACTCGCCGCGTAGAACGACTAGTCGCGGTCCCCGCGCGAAGGGTAAATAACAACCGAATAAAATGTGTACATACCGTTCGCCGTCCGCCATCCGCCGTCTGCCATCCCGGGATCTGCCACAGCCGCGAACAAACCGCAAAACAAAACCACGAAAAACACGAGCCACTCGAGCGACTTTACACTACGTCCGCGTCCGCGACCGGCGGCGACCG